TTTTTTTTTTCGCTTTGTTTTAGGTTCGTGGGAACAAGGGAGAAGTTCTATATATTTTGGATGCTACCAACCCAAGACATTCCAACTGGCTTCGCTTTGTTCATGAGGCACCATCTCAGGAACGGAAGAACCTGGCTGCCATTCAAGTGAGCCGATTGGCTTCATGTTTGTACAGTGCACTGTGAGAGTAAAGAATTAATATATAACTATACTCCCTATCTTCAGTTTATTTCCCTGACTTGCTTCAAATAACACTACCTAACACATCAACACAGAGAAATCATCTAGTCAGCATGTGCAGGAAATGTGACTAGCTGTCAAGTAGAACCAGATCACTTGCTTTATGAGAATTCTTGAGGGAGTGAATCACACAGTTTGATACTATCCTTGGCAGATCTTTCTTTTGAGTACTTTGATTTTATGCAGCAATGGTTTCTTGATAGCATTTTTGATTTTCTAGTTGATCTGGTCCTTTGTACTCCACCGTGGGTTACTGCTTGAGGAAAATCTTTATGGAGAGTTTACTCACCTATGTAACCCCATAGCTACACCACGAGCCTCTTGAGGAACATGTTCTCATAAGAGTTAAGCAGAGTCAGTAGGATCTATTTAAGTATATGTCTACGCATATTTAGTATAAAGATTTTGCTCATGCAGTAATGGACACTAGCAAATTCAAAATCTGCAGAGTTGATGTCCTAATTTGAATCTAAGGACCATACACTCCTGTAGAACCAGGAAGGCTACTCTGAAGTTCATCAGACGAGACAGTTTTATAGTTCAGAAATTACCAGATAGCATTTACAGTAGATTATGTGTGTGTGGGTAGGGGGGAGCAGCTTTATGTTCTAGTAAGACCTTCAACTGATTGTATGAGGCCCATCCACATTATGGCAGTCAGTATTCCTTACTCAAACCCACTGATTTCAGTGTTAGTCTTATCCAAAACCATTTTTAGAGAAACACCCAGAATAAAGCTTATCCAAATATTCATTACCACATATCCAGTCAAGTTGACACATAAAACTGATCACCACAGGTACAAACTATGTCTTAGTGAATTCTGTTTTACTGTATCTTAGTATACTGCTGCACAGAATATTAAGTTCCAGTATACAGTATAAGTTGAACTTAGCAATTGCTGTAACGACTCAGAGTCCTGGGTCCTAAACTGCAGAGGAAATGAATGTATGATTCTTGTAGAATCAAGAAGGGGTAAATGTTGTGTTTGTGCAACTGTTCTAGAAACCTCATATATGTGGCCCTTTACTCATAGAAACTGATAATGTGGAAATTCATTGAATAGTCTACTGATTACATCTAATTCTGAATGTGACATCAACAGTGACAAGAAAAATACACAGCTCTAAGCTTAATGCAACCAGAAAGCACTACTTACTATTCCACCTCCTGTTTTCAGCTAGCCAGTTTCTTTTTTAGTAAACGTATTAGAAAATTAATGTGTTTATTGCCTGTTTTGTGTGGAAATGTGACCCCTGAATCTTCTGAAACAGCTGAGCTATGATAGAAAATGAGATCTCTGATAGGAGAGTTCTTTACACCACAGTTTGGATTATCCACAATATGTGGCTGATCCAAATATAAACTGAAGTGACTCATTTTTTTGTTTATGTGTAGGTATCAATTTTTTTCAAGTACATTTATATTGTTTTGTTCCCAAGCAAATTCATCTCATAGGCTCTGTAGTTATGAATTGATTAATAGACCTTTAGTTTCTTTGTAAATGTAACTGTTATCAAAATTGCTTCTAGAACATGAAATTTACCTTACCACCTGTTGTTTTGGGAGGCGACTAATTTTGCTTCTAGAGACACACAGTGAAGACACTCATATCAGCTCTGGTTGGAAGATTGGGTTTAATCTTTCCCCAAATTCCCTTAGCTTGAGAACTTTCTTCCTACCAACAGTTATTTCTGAGAGACAACAGCGTACTTCATTTGCTCCAGCTTTCAGTGCAGAGCTTGCAGTGGGTCGCATTCTTGTTGAACAGTGCTTATTTTTATGTTTTGCTTTCACTCATTCTTTCATCAATGGAAATTTTTGTCAATGTGTCTACATTGATCTTTACCATGCACATGCTACTGTGCTGTGCCCTGTCGTTTATGTGTTGTGGACATATCGTTTTTTTGTAATCATTGTGTCTAAGGCATAGTTACTATGCTCATTTGAGTACTAAGGGAAGTATGTTTCTTTATGTTAACTGTATTCTTTTTCTTGAAAGTGAATAGGAATTCCTGAAAGCTGTTGACTGTAGTTGTGGTACTTCAGGACATAACTGATGCCTAAGGTAAGGGCAGGATTAGAAATGGCTAGAGGTTCTGTGAATGTTCACTCTTGAATTTCTTAGAATCTAAATCTGTTCAGAGGCCTCTCTGAGGATCTTGGTGCAGGCGTAGTGGCAATGGCTTTGGTTTCTGTGTCCTCTCTCTCCCAGGGGAGTGGATATGCTGCTGTCGTGGTTTTTGTCATGGGATATAAGAGGTTCATTGCTCCCTTGAGGTAGCGTCTTTCTAACCTGAACAGTAGCTGGAGTAACAGATTGCTGAGAGTTCAGAATCACATATGAGCCAGGGTCAAAGAGCATAACAGTTGGGTCTCCTGACTGAAAGCAGAGTCATCCTTCTAAGTGGTTGGGATGCTCTCCTGAGAGCTAGCTGCATTCCAGAAGCACTGAGTGGGTAAGAGAGTGGCCTAATGTTTCCTACATCACATTATGAATCACTTGCATTCCAAATTGCATCTGAAATTTGAGGTATTCAGGAAATTTTTTATTTGAGCTGTATATCCCAGGGGCTGAGCAAATGACAAACATTTGTGGCTATGTGGCTTGCTTGGTGGAAAATGTCAATACTTAGTCCAATTTTTTGGACAGGGGATTAAGAATTTGAGGTCTGTTTTGGCAGATGATTGGAACTCTTTCATGGAGACTCAATTATATTTCTAGTTTTGCAATTTATTTGATTCTCCAAAATTTGCTTTGGAAGTGGTGATTTAAGTGTCTGGATTGCTGAGAAGGATCTAGTGAGCAGAGTTCTTCCCACGCAGTCTTTAGAATAGTAGTTGAGCTATATATTAAGACTTTTGAAAAGTTTCCAACTTTGACTAGAAAATTCTAAATGTGAAAGATACAGCTGAAAATGATGCAAAATCTCCTTTTTTTCTAAACGTTGCAATAATTGGGATTCTTCTAAAGTGTTAGTTTTTTTGCACTAAAGGAGAAAAATGCGTATAGTATTTGCAAAAAAAAAAAAAATCAGTGAGTCAATCTTCTGTCACCTTGTACCTTTTTAAAAAAAATTAGAAGACCAGCAAAAACAGTGAATTGTTTAATTTGAAGCTGAAACTTTAAATTCTTTGGAAATTTCCAAGGTAGCGTTCCATTTCATGTTCTTTTTTTTAAAAAAAAATATTATGGGGGAGATGGCTCCATGGTTAAGAGAACTGGCTGCTCTTGCAGAAGACCTGGGTTCAGTTGCTGTACCCACATGGCCACCAACAACCATCTGTAACTCCAGTTCTAAGAGAATCCAACACCTTCTTCTGACCTCTGCAGGCATTGTGCAACACAGGTACACATGCAGGCAATACACTCATACACTAAAATAAAAATAAGGATATATTTCCAGACTTGTCCTCCCTGGGACTATTTGCTGTATGTCTGTATGTCGTTAGCATGAGCGAAACAGTGACTTGGTGCTTTATGAAAACCTTGGCACATGAAGCATACTTTGGGTTCTGATCTGTATCATAAGGGATGCCTAGTAGGGCATGAAGATGATCTACATGACAAGAGGAATCTAGATACTGAACTCAGATACCAGCACAGCTTCCCTCTAATTCTGACCTCATCTTACATTCCCTCTAACCATTTGACTCACTTTACCACAGATTATTAGATCTTTTTTCTCCGCCTTGCCTGAGGCTGTACCATTGCAGGCACTTTATCCTAGGGTGTAGTAAAATTGCAGAATTAGAGCATATTATGTTAGCTGTAGTGGCATTTGGGGAGAGGAGCTTGGATTTAGTTTTAGTTTTATTGACAACTGACCATATGAAAATCACTTATCTATAAAATAAAAGCTGACAGCTGTAACCTAATTCACAGATTTATCACAAAAATAAAGATTATTCCCTAGAAAATGCCATTGTAAACCAAAATATTACTGATATTTAGCCTAAGCTTTAACTCAAAGGTTGAGAAAGAAAAATTGGAGAATTTGTCTTTATGCACAGGTTGTAGACCTTATACATATTTCAACTTCATAGAACAAAAAGATATTAATGGAAGTTAATGATGAAAAGGTTGGCTTCAAGTCACCGCTGGGAAATATCTTTCTATGTAAAAGAGCACTGCTTAGCCTATTCTTGATAACAAACTGAACAAAATTTAGCCTTAGGCCACTAAAGCACTTTAACCCACCCTTTTTATTAAAAACTTTATTTAATAACCACATACTTAGAAGAAGCATTTCATTATAGCTGCATTGACATATTCAGTAACAATTTCCAGAACTAAGATGCATCTTTTACAAAACTGGCTGTAAATTTTTAGGTTTACAGTTGAATTATTACAGTTACACAATATTGTACTCAGTATAAACCTTATAAGACATAAAATTAAATGAGGTTTTAACCTTTAAAAAGATCTCCATTTCATTTTAAGATATGCTGTTTCATACAGAAAAACTCATTTTTAATGC